ATGGATTCGCAATATGCGTGATCCACCGAAAAACGAAAATATAGCCGTTTATCGGTTTACCAGAGTCACATTTGGGTTGAACGTGTCCCCATTTTTATTAGCAGCTACAATACAAGATCGTACAAATCATGAGGTGGAAAATAAAGAACTGGCAAGCGAAATTAGCGAAAATCTATACGTCGACAACCTTCTCATAGGGAACGACCCCTGAAGAAGTAATGACAAATCTCTTGCTACTCGAGCAATATTTCAACAATTGAATATGAATCTTCGCGAGTTCTTGGAGAATGATGCTACTGTACAAGCAAAGTTACTCCATGAAGCTTGTGCGACAGAAACAACACAAAAAGTGTTGGGAATCCCGTGGAACTCGGCTAGAGATATTATAACAGTACAATGTGTGTTTCCACTGATGGCAAAAACCACGAAAAGAAGCATAGCAAGACAAATTGCTTCTACATATGAACCGCTAGGTTGGCTAGTACCACTGCTCATCCCACATAAGATATTCCAGCAAAAACTGTGGGTGAATTGCTATTCTTGGGATTAAGAACTGCCTCCAATCCTTAATGATGAATGGGAAAAGATAAGAGACGGGGCCCAAGCATTAGAAAAAACATTTAATCGCCAACTTCCTGTAAAATTTTACGAAAGTATAGCGGTTTTTGCGGATGCAAGCGAACATGCGATGGCTACTTGCGCATATGCCTTCCACGCTGGAAGTTCATCGCTATTGATGGGAAAATCAAAGCTACCATCAATAAAATCCAAAACCACAATACCAAAGCTTGAGATGAATGCACTTACAATGGCGGCAAGACTAGCACGCTCAATTTGCGAAGTTTTGCGAAATGCGACAAAGAATATTAAAAGCATTTATCTATGTTCCGACTCCCAAATCGTCCTAAACTGGATCACAAACTTCCCAGACAAGGACCATGCAGGAGTTTTAGCACACAACCGTACTAAGGAAGTGCAAAGAATTATAGAAGCTTTGAATAGCGAGGGAATATCAGTTTACTTTGGTTATATTCCTACGGAAATATACCCTGCAGATGCAGGAACGCGAGGATTAACAAAAACTCAACTACAAACCCACGAGTGGTGGATAGGACCAGAAATTTCAAGAAAACCGTTAACAACATGGAAAACAATGCTTTTTCAATGGACATCACCCACAAATAATTCTACAGATCTTCAAGATGTAGTTCTTACAGCGATCAGTGCACCAATAGGGCATATTCAGCAGTTTCCGCTCAATCGCTACTCATCTCTGAGAAAAACTCTACGCGTGGTAGTATGGACATTGCGATTTGTGCGAAATTTAATAGCGAGATTGTCACAACCAACTACTAGCTGTTTGCGAAAACAAGTGCCAGAGTTACACGGACCAGAGACAAAGTCTCCGACACTCAATAGTTGGGAAATGCGACAAGCAAAAATTATACTAATTGAAGAACATCAGTCACTGGAGCTAAACCCAACTACATCAAAATGTTGGAAAAAACACTGAAACCATACAAAGATAACTCTGGAATCTGGAGAGCCAGAGGTCGGCTGGGGTTATCAATACTGCGAGAAGATGCGAAATTTCCTATTCTTATAGCGCCTAAAAGTGAACTAGCGCTCAAAATAATACAAGACGCTCATGGAAAATATCACAAGGGAATCGCGCACACTATAACGAGTGTTAGAAAGAACTACTGGATTCCCAAGGTACGACAACAAGTGCGATCCATGGTAAGCCGATGCATTCGGTGCAGACGTTTCAACGGATTACCGTATAGGTATCCAGAAATGCGCGATCTACCCAGCAGAAGGGTACAACAAGCTCGCCCTTTTGAACACATAGGAGTTGATTTCTTCGATCTTCCGGAGGTAAGGAGGACGAAAAACTATGCAAAACGTATGGGTGCATTTTTACGTGCACAGTAACAAGACATACATCTTGAGGTTATGAAAAGTATGAGCGCAGAATCGTTCTTAAATGCCTTAAGACGCTTCTTCTCAAAAAGAGGAATACCAGCGTCTATTACATGCGATAATGCGCCAACCTTCCAACTAGCAGCAGAAATTTTAAACAGTGCGAACCAAAACAACTTACTAGCTGACTTTGCTGCTAGTCATATGAATGGAAGAATATAACCCCATACGCATGGCAAGGGGGTTTCTACGAAAGATTGATTAAATCGATAAAAGATTTTCTTTATAAGTCACTTGGCAAAGCCAAATTATCATATGACAGCATTATCACTGTAATCAGTGAGATCGAGGGTACACTGAACTCCAGGCAGCTAACATATCAAGAATTGGACAATGATGATTATTCTGCGATACGGCCAATTGATTTTATACAAAGTTAGCTCAAGGTGACTTATCCTGCTGAAAAAGTGGATCAAAACAATGAAGATCCAGACTATTATACTCCAACGGAAGTAGCGGCGCTGAGAAAGTGAAGGCAAGTGATAAGTTCCTTGCTCTCGTCTGTTCAGTGGACATGCAAATTCGGTGGGTATGGAAAGATCACTACCTCACCAGCCTCTGAAACAACATTGTACACATATTACACAAAAAAGAAGTTCAACGTTGATTCCAAAGGAAGGTGCGGTAGTCCTCCTCACGGATCCAATCCTACCACGTAATGAGTGGAGGATGGCGAGAATCACAAAGATCAACAAATCAGGTGATGAAGTCATTCGAGAAATCGAATTGGTAACATCAACACGAAAAATTATCAAAAGACCAGTTAATTTGGTGGTACCATTAAAGGTACAAGATGAAGAGGTGTTACCAAAAAAGAATAGTGTCGAAATTAAACAAAATCCCTATAATCTCCGACCTCGGGAACAAGTTTCCTACAGAGAAAACTTACTTAGAACAACAACGACACTGCAAACAGTCTTTGCGAATGCTGCGAAAATACCACTCTTTCTTACATTGATGCTACCTAGCAAATGTTTGCTCACCTACATTATGCAAACCACTACCAGAACCAAATCAAATGGAATGTCAAAAAATGGAATTGCTGTCAAAAACGCAGACTCCACGAGCGAATTCGATGCAAATTATACAAAAATCCATCATCTTTTGAATTAGTCAAATTTGCTCCAGAGCTGACACTACATGAACACACGGTCCTCTTGAAATGGCATCGTAATGCAACATTTGCGGCAATGGAGATGAAATGTCAAGGCTTGGATTTTTGCGAGAATTTGCAATGTTCTTGGTGCATATCGATAATCTTAAACCCAGAATGCTGGCCTTTAGGAGCACTAATACGACTTACCATGATAATTTACGCTATAGTAGCATTTGGCTATGTAGTGCTCTATGTGCCGATTACTCTAGGAAAGCCTATTAGATTGATGTTCAAAGCAATACTGATAGTGATTGCATATATTTTTAGATCAAGTATACGCTGCCTTAGAAGTGTAACACGAATCTCTGCCAGAAACAGGCGATTACGTCGATTGGCATAAGCAATTGCGATATTGGCGATTTTTAACCAGGTCTTAATCTTTTGCAGCATCGCTTGCCAAAATACAAACATTTTTTCTTTAAAATCCACGGTTTTCTCTATGACTTCAGTGTACAAAACTTCACATTAACATTGACCTCTTTAGCCTTCCTCCTTTACCGATATTAGACCAAGTGTTCCTCTCAGACGGCAATCAAATTGCACTTTGGCGAAAAGATGACGAGCTTTTGCTACATTGCAAGACTCCAGTAGATGCGAAAAACCTTAACTGCGAGTTACGCGATAAATGCAAATGCAGTCCAGCAGAAAACAAAGTGTGATGTGAGTGCGAATTCAGACCACTAAGCGATCATTTCAATGAGTTATCACAAAAACTACCACTGAATGTGCAAAACGCTCTTTTCTATGAAGATGCGAACTCGAGTGTTGTTGTACGAATTAGAGACACTGTCTCTTCAGAATTTTAACTATCAAGGATCAATCAATAGAGCGATACAGGAATCACAACATCAATCATGCACAATAGAAAACTCATTCTTACGGGATGTTACCGATGCCAAAAAGCCGCTGAAGCAAACATCGTCTGCAAATCAAAACAGCGCACTTTAGCAGAAATTAAGTGCGAAGGCGACACTTTCGTTGTTCCTTGCTCACCTGAAGGAGAAAAATCATAAAAATGATGCAACGCAAAAATATGCAAAAGAGAAAGTATACATAAAAGGCGAAACGATCGCGAAGCAGTTAACAACCACAACTAAGCATTCTTGCTCTATATATACGTTCTAGCAAGTTACTTTATCAATGATAAACGCGCTATGTTTTGAGAAGGCTGTCTCGATCCCACTTAATAATTCTTCAATCTCTTATTTTCTTATAGACAATCGCAAATCTTTCGCGCAGTCATGTTTTGAGAAGCGCTATGCTTCCCCTTTATCAGATTTCACAGCAATAACTGTGCTTACCGCACTTTGAGCTCGCCCAAAGATCGTGTAACCGCGATATGTTCCATTTTTTTGCGACGGCTGCGCTTTTGCTAATTTTACTCAAAGCAAAAAAAATCAGGCTCAAATCATTCAATTAAAAACTACGAAACTTAGGCTACCCAATTCTTGGCCAGAATTATTTTTGTGGTAGAGAGTGTGGGAGCCATTCCTTTAGAGGGATTGTGCCACACCTTATTATCTAACTTACCTCCAGTGGAATTTATAGCGAGTGATATATACATGGTTCGATAGCCTGAAACTTGTAATTGTTTTAAGCTGTTTTCTTATTTGCTCTGAGTAATAGTTGGTAAAAGCATTACCAAAAGCAAAATATGAGACAAACGAGATTTTTGTTGGCTTTGAACTCGCCAGTTTGGAAGTCTTTTGGAGCAGGTTATCTGATGTGGAAAGGAGGAGCTTTACTTAATATACAACTGTGTTAAAGCAGTCAATATATCTTGAATGCAACACCGATGCGCTGGACTTTCATAGGAAACTAAACGACTTGCTTATTCAAAAGAACATTGTATTATTTTCAGTGATCTCACCGACTATGCTACAGTCACCTCTATATTCACCACGCCTTCCCAGGTAGATTTTAATAAAACATTCTAATGAATTCTGTGAAACATAATTATGTAAAGATTTGTTTCTTTATATACTGTGCAATGTGTGCATAGATGTGTAATCTATGCAAACATTGCACAGTAATCTATGCACACATTGCACATCTGGTGCTTGATAAACCTCAAAGAACATTTTTGGGTACTTTCTAAGCTTTTGCTGGCCTGCAACCTCTTTTCTAAGAAAGGGGGTAGTAAAGCAACCAAATAAACTTTAACATAATTATCGAATTTTTGAAAGATTTTCTGTGAAGTAGTTTGATTATTTGCTTGTAAAAACAAGCAAGGTTGCGCAATTTTATAATTTGCGTAGCTAAATTTAAAATCAATACTTTTTGAATCTGTTCTGCGTCTGCAAGGCTCTCATCCAAATGTAGTTGTAAGCTTATTTCTCTGGCGCGGCAAAACTTCCCAGCACTTGCGATTTGGTATACGACTGAATGCTTTCTTACAGGTGGGTACTAACGCTCGACCCTTTCAACAAGTTTTTTCTCAATTATGTTTTTTGCCTCAAACATGCTATTATTACAAGACATAATGCATTTTCGCACAAACAAAATTTCGCCCATTCTCACAGAATAGTCATTGTCAGAAAATGTTGTTTGGATTCGTGATGTCGAACAGGATATCCTATCTACATATGGCACATTCTTTGCAACAGCTTGTGTGATTTGTTTGCAAATCACACAAATCAACAAGAAGTTTTGCACAAAAAGGCAATGCTGGAATGTTTTGCCGTGTTTTGTGAAAGAGGGACTAAATCCAGAAAGGAAAAAGCTCAGGGATTAGAGCATTACTTCGAATTTATTTTGTTAGAACACATCACTCGGATCAGAATATATTTTAAGTCACTAGAATTGATGTGGGTTCTTAGGGATCAATAGAGTAGAAGCACTCAAGAGTAAAAGTAAACATCGCATTCGATTAACTATGGTTATCTCATAACTTTGTTTCAATTTTAACCTTTAACGCAATAAGTCAAACATTTTCTAATCCAAGCAGAGGAGTGCCGTTCGATATCTTATACCTAAAGGCGGTCTGTTTGCATGTTTGTATGTCTGTGTGTACGTATGTGCGGAATAGAATATCTCACCTGAACCAAACTTGGCACTACAATTCGGGGCAGGGAGCTGTCGTAGGCTACTTCTTTTCGTTGTCGATCCAGACCGATTTTATCGATGTTTATCGATTTTTTGCAGAGCGCTTGTGTGTGTGTGTGTGTGTGTGTGTGTGTGTGTGTGTGTGTGTGTGTGTGTGTGTGTGTGTGTGTGTGTGTGTGTGTGTGTGTGTGTGTCTAAAAACTCAGTGCAATCATTTTTTGAATCTGCATAATGGCGAGCGGCCTTTCAAGTATAGTACTTTCGTCCATGCAAATTGTCTCTGCAAATTTCCGCCTTCAAACGGAATCTAACTTGTGAGTTAACTTTTGCATAAGTAGTATATTTTGAGAAATACAGCGCTTTAAAATGAAATCTTTGAAATATACAAAATGTTCGCATTGGGCATTCTGAGCACTTCCTCAGACGATCGCTGGGGGCAGGCGGGACCGGAAAAATAGATTGCTGATTTCTCGCACCCCGCTCGCGGATTTTTTGCGAAGCAATCAGGACTTTTCGGAAGACCGCTTGCTGAGTCAGCGGATTTTTGAGAGATCGCCTGTTGAATTTTTTTTCGCTCTTATCTTTTGCAGATATATTGCTGAATCTCTGATGAATCGAGAACTCAGCAAGCGGTCTTCCGAAAAGTCCTGATTGTTTTCCAAAAAATCCGCGAGCGGGGTGCGAGAGATCAGCAATCTATTTTTCCGGTGCCCGCCCGCCCCCGGCGATTGTCTCTGAGTCACGGTGCTGTTGAGATTTCAAACCTGCTCATTAAGAAAGAACGATCGTAATGCTTTTGCACTCTTGCATTTTCATTCAAATGCCCGAAATCTGGGGCACTGCAATGGCATACGGACAGGCTGATTGGCGCAGTGAAGATAAAAAGCAAAAATACACCAGTTTGGACAGTGGCATAAAAGACTCTTTTGAAGCTGGCCACTTTAAGCTCGTCTTTCTTCCCCTCCACTCTCACCTCTTTCCTAAACTCATGCCTATATCATATACATAAAAATGTATCGCTCTATCATACCTGTTCAGAAACACGCAATGATGGTACCTTCGTTTGTGTATGCGCAATGCAGAGCTGGTACACTTTGGAAACTTTGAAAAGTTGAGAACAAGGGAGTGGTCAGAAATCAGAGAGGCTAATCCAAACAAGCTACATACCATTACATCTTATATATAAAGCTGAATGTCTGTTTGTATGTATGTCTGTCTGTCTGTCTGTATGTCTCTCTGTGTGTACGTATGTTCCGAATAGAAAATTCCATTTCTGGACCGATCCGGACCAAACTTGGCACACATACACTTCGGGCCCCGACGGGTGTCATAGGCTACTTTTCGTCGTCTATCGATATCGATTTTATCGATTTTTTGCAAAGTTTGAGCTACGGGGCTGGGATTTGGCAGAGGGGGTAATCGAGCATGCTGACCACCCCGGATATTAGTTTTCAAAACCGTGCATTACTAGTATCGATTTTATTGATTTTTTGCAAAATTAGAGCTAGGAGGCTGGAATTTGGCGGAGGGGTGCAATCGAGCATCCGGGGTGGTCAGCATGCTCGATTACCCCCTCTGCCAAATCCCAGCCCGTAACTCAAATTTTGCAAAAAATCGATAAAATCGACATCGATCGATAACGGTGGACTGTGACACCCGCCGGGGCCCGAAGGGTATGTGTGCCAAGTTTGGTCCGGATCGGTTAAGAAATGGAATTTTCTATTCGGAACATACGGCGGAGCCGGGTAAGCCAGCTAGTGCGACATAAAACTGACTTCGAGTCTGTATTCTATATCGGCTTAGCGCCTTTGTGGACGAAGTTATAAAATAAACCGTAAATGGTCATTCTTAATTGAAAAATTGTGCACGCAAATCGCAAACCTGACAACAGACTTATATTCGAATTAATGCTGGAAAAAACATGCAGCTAGGTTACTTTATTTCTTAAAGCCTAAAGGTGAGCAGAAACTGCAACAAAGTGCTCAGCAAATATGCACTTCCGCAATAAAACTGCTCACAGCTCCGTCCACAAGGCGCTAAGCAGATATGGAATGCAGATCCGAAATTATAGTTGAATACTGCATTAAACGGCAGGCAGCTTCTCCATTTCGATTTCTGACCATTTTCTTGTAAGCCTTTTTGACAAGACACTTGGGGTGACTCAGTGAATACTACGTTAAACAATACCGCTCATAATTCCTCAAAAAATCGCCGGAGTGCGCTGGAGTGCAGCAGTGTGCGTTGCACTCCACCAGTGTCCGCCGGAGAGCAGCGAAGTGCGTCGCACATCACTAGAGTCTGTCGGAATCCGCGTGACATTGCCATATAACGCTTTAGAATGGACGAATTCTGAATCCGAGGACACTGTTCAATTCAGCTCGGCGAGACGCACCACTCTGTACATATAAGTGCCACAATTAGAGCGGTACGATAGGACGGTAGATAGTTATAAGTTTTCGCTCTTTCGATTCGCAGATTTTTGTTTGGTTGGATTGTTTAGTGTGCCTGATAACACCCACTGATTTCTCGATGACGACACATAGTAGATAAAGAGGAGATTCCAGTAGATAAACTGTAGGGGTATGGTAATGAGTTAGGTAGTCACAGGTTTCTCTCCAAATAAAATGGACGGACTAGTGTATCCTGGAGAAATCATGTCTTTCCAAATTTTACTCACCGTAACCCAAAAATATAATATAAAAAGTAAGAATTAAAAGTATGCAATCTTAACCTTTTGGGTAAAATTCATGAAGACGTGTTTTCGTAGGCTCGTAACTTGGCGAATTTTTAAACTGGAGCCTGAGTAGCATCACTCGATAGCACAATTCCTAGTAATTTTGAATGAGAAAAGCAAGCAGGCAAGTTTTCTGACAGATTCACGAAAATAAAGACGAAGTTACAAACTTTTGTGACTCAGTCACAGCTATCTCACAGTATCTCTGCAAAAAGACCCTGTATTCTTCAAAAAACCACGATTTTTGTAAACAACGTGTTTGAAAACACCTATAAACGAAGTCTCGTTACAATCCAAGATCATCAACATTTTGACCAAAATTCATGGGCGAGCTTAGAGCATAGTAAGGCAGAAAAAATAAAATAACCCGACGTTCCGGAAAACTTGCTCATAGAGGTCATCCGACCTGCTGATTAAATAAATTACATCTGCTTGGCAAGATAGCTTTATATTTTAGAGTAACAGTGAGTAGAATTTTGGAACGACATGATTCTTCCAGGATACACTAGCCCTCCCATCTCATTTGGAGAAAGGCCTGTGATTACTTATCAGCGCTCCATAATTTACGGAGAAAGTACTATCAAAATTCTTTGCTGGAATCTAGCTTTATATTTTAGAGTAACAGTGAGTAGAATTTTGGAACGACATGATTCTTCCAGGATACACTAGCCCTCCCATCTCATTTGGAGAAAGGCCTGTGATTACTTATCAGCGCTCCATAATTTACGGAGAAAGTACTATCAAAATTCTTTGCTGGAATCTAGTAAGAGCAATGCGAGGTGCCTAACACCTCTGCGAAAGGACGTCCTCAGAAAGATTCGAGAATGCATCGGGATTTTAGGGACATGCTGTATATCGAAAAATTTATTTTGATGAGCTGGGAACAATGCTTTTTCGGATTCAAAATATATTCATTCCGAAGGAAGCTACAGCGACTAGAATTTAAAACGCGTGATTTTTGCAGAATTTACCAACGCTTCTAACTCTTTTGAAAGGCAGTCTGCATCTCCTTTTTAGCGCACAATAATCTACAAGGACAATACTATTGAACTTACTGGAACCTTTAAGTTCCAGTAAGTACTATTCGATAGATTGAGAAATTCGATGAGAGTGACTCATTACCATACTCCTACAGTTTATCTACTATGTGTCATCATCGAGAAATCAGTGGCGGTGAAATCAGGCACACTAAACAATCCAACCAAACAAAAATCTGCGAATCGAAAGAGCGAAAACTTATAACTATCTACCGTCCTATCGTACCGCTCTAATTGTGGCACTTATATGTACAGAGTGGTGCGTCTCGCCGAGCTGAATTGAACAGTGTCCTCGGATTCAGAATTCGTCCATTCTAAAGCGTTATATGGCAATGTCACGCGGATTCCGACAGACTCTAGTGATGTGCGACGCACTTCGCTGCTCTCCGGCGGACACTGGTGGAGTGCAACGCACACTGCTGCACTCCAGCGCACTCCGGCGATTTTTTGAGGAATTATGAGCGGTATTGTTTAACGTAGTATTCACTGAGTCACCCCGAGTGTCTTGTCAAAAAGGCTTACAAGAAAATGCTCAGAAGTCGAAATGGAGAAGCTGCCTGCCGTTTAATGCAGTATTCAACTCTAATTTCGGATCTGCATTCCATATCTGCTTAGCGCCTTGTGGACGGAGCTGTGAGCAATTTTATTGCGGAAGTGCATATTTGCTGAGCACTTTGTTGCAGTTTCTGCTCACCTTTAGGCTTTAAGAAATAAAGTAACCTAGCTGCATGTTTTTTCCAGCATTAATCCGAATATAAGTTTGTTGTCAGGTTTGCGATTTGCGTGCACAATTTTTCAATTAAGAATGACCATTTACGGTTTATTTTATAACTTCGTCCACAAAGGCGCTAAGCCGATATAGAATACAGACTCGAAGTCAGTTTTATGTCGCATGTAATGGTATGTAGCTTGTTTGGATTGGCCTCTTTAATTTCTGACCACTCCCTTGTTCTCAACTTTTCAAAGTTTCTAAAGTGTACCAACTCTGATTGCGCATACACAAACGAAGGTTCCAGTATTTCGTGTTTCTGAGCAGGTATGATAGAGCGACACATTTTCATAGATATGATATAGGCATGAGTTTAGGAAAGAGGTGAAAGTGGAGAAGTGCTCAGAATGCCCAATGCGAACATTTTGTATACTTGAAAGATTTCATTTTAGAGCGCTGTTTCTCAAATATACTACTCATGCAAAAGTTAACCCACAAGTTAGATTCCGTTTAAAAGCGGAAATTTGCAGAGACAATTTGCATAGACGAAAGTATTAGGTTGGCACGATAGTTCTGTCCCACCATTTTCAAAAAATTCATAACATCTGACTTTTCAACCGGTTTGACTGCTTTCATTTTTGTATGGAATAGTAAGTCATCCTCTTTATAATGACGTCTTAGCTGCTTGCTAATGATCATCTGTTGCATAGACAGGAGCGATAATAGAAAATTAGTCAAACCTCGAATTTTCTGTGTAGGGTCATAAAATCGAAGACTTGCAACAAAAATCGGAGCAGTCGGTATTGTAGATTCTTTCACCAACTCTTTCTTACTGTGCAAAGTTTGCGCCGATTGAGCGTTTTTACAAAAGTTACGATTTTAGAGCAAGCAATACAAAAAGGGCGATTTTGATTTATTTTGGCATTTTTCAGGGAAATCATAACTTTTCATAGGGACAATTAGCGCAAACTTTGCACTGTTAGAAAGAGCTGGTGAAAGAACCTAGACAGACTGCTTCGATTTTTATTGCAAGTTTCCGATTCTTCATGACCCTACACAGAAAATTCGAATTTGGCTAACTTTCTTCTATCGCTCCTATCTATTGCAACAGATGATAATTAGAAAGCAGCTAAGATGCCATTATAAAGAGCATGCTTACTCTTTTACATAAAAATAAAAGCAGTCAAATCGGCTGGAAAAATCAGAATTATGGATTTTTGAAAATGGTGCCACGGAACTTTCGTGCCAACCTAATATTATACTTGAAAGGGCGCCCACCATTCTGCAGACAAAGTGTAAGACTGTAACTGCGTTTAGATACACGCACCTGTTTGATTGAAGTTACTGACGCAAAAGAATGGATAATCTCCTGATTTCAGATTTTACCAGTTTGGGTTCGTAGGTTTTGTTATTGCTCATGAGATGATGCACGCATATGGAAAAGAGGGTAAGTCATTTTTTCTTGATTTAAAGGGTTATTCAGTTAAGCAAACCAAGTTTATTTTTTCATAAATCTGTTTATTGTTCAACGAAAGATCGCTGCTGTGTTTGCACAATATCATGGCCTGTAATAAACTCTGTTCAGCTTAACTCCGCTGAAGGCAGGCCTATGTTGAACGTAAAGTGCCTCGATTTAGCATCCAATGAGCCATCGATCCGTATTCGGATCGACTTCTAGACCTAGAAATCTTGTGCGTTCTCATAAACTAAACGCCTTGAGCGGTCTGATCAAACGGCTACGTGAATGACTTTCAACGCGAAAGCCCATGGCTCGGAACCGGATAGTGGTAATTTTTTTGCGCTACCGCAGGACAATCTTTGATAGCGGCCGTAAAAAGATAGATGGCGACCGCTATCAAGAATATCGCCAAACAAACAAATAAATTAAACAAAACTTGTATTAGGTTGTCCTGAAATTAATGCAGGTTTTGAATTCCAACCGCAACAAGTCATACACTTCTCATTTCTAAGTAGGTTGCAAGGTACTGTTCGATAAAGCAAAGTAAGCTCTACCAGATGGCTCTTGCTTTAGCAATAGCTCTGATCCACACCGAGTTTCGCTCCAAAAACTAAAAACATTCAAGCGTCCGAAAAATTGAGAAAAATCGTAACTCAGTTCATAAAAATCCTAAAAAAATTCTAACTTGCTCCCGTAAACATAATCCTCATAGAGCATCTATATACGCCGTTGCCGTATTTTTTCTCTGTTAGAATTCAAGAAAACCGAAATTTTCGTGCATTTGCCGAAGTGATGCCGTGCCGTCCAAACATAGGTAGTTGTATACTACAAGCCTGTAGAAGTACAGACTTAAATTTCCAGCTCTCTACAATCTTTAGTTCTCGAGAAATGTGAATTTTAGCTTGGACCCCATAATTAGGAAAAACTGTATTCGATATTTCTCGAAAACTAAAGCTTGTAGAGAGCTGGAAATTTAAGTCTGTGCTTCTACAGGCTTGTGGTATACAACTACCTATGTTTGGACGGCATAGCATCGCTTTGGCAAATGCACGAAAATTTCCGTTTTCTCGATTTCTAACAGAGAAAAAATACGGCAACGGCGTATATAGATGCTCTATGTGGATTATGTTTACGGGAGCAAGTTGGAATTTTTATACGATTTTTATGAACTGAGTTACGATTTTTCTCAATTTTTCGGACGCTTGAATGTTTTTAGTTTTTGGCGCGAAACACGGTATGGATTAGAGCTATTGCTAAAGCAAAATAGCCGTCTGATAGAGCTTACTTTGCCCTATCGAACGGTACCTTGCAACCTACTTAGAAATGAGAAATGTATGACTTATTGCGGTTGGAATTCAAAACCTGCATTAATTTCCGGACAACCTAATATATTTCGACTAGGATATCACGAAAAAACGAAAACGTTGTTGGAACACAAAGCAAATGAAACAAATCAAGAATTCTTGTTTGAAGCAGTCTTTGAAAGAGAAACGTAAGCAAGCCCTGAAAAAAGAAAAGATTCTGCTTTTTTGTTTTCTCGCCGCAACTAGCTGTTTATTGATCCTCTCCCATTTAGGCCGCCGAGATTGTGCAATTTTGGGAATTTCGCACTGCAGTATTACGTCAACTGAATTATCCCGTAAGTTGCTCACGAGCAACTTACGGAAAACTTGGCTGATTCTCTTCTTTTGCGCATCATCTCTCTTGGGTCACCTTGAAATGCAAACTCTGATGTGGCATTCTGGTGAAATGGCTGTGACATTTGACCGCAAGTCTTCTGACTGTTGAACTGACTTTTCTAAAGCACGGGGAGGTCGATGGGCTTAGGTTCACCCGAGCAAGTTCTGAATGACTAATCTCAGGTCACCTAAGATGATTGAAGGTTTACTGCGGGCCTTTGTCTTTGTCCTCCCCGCCAACTTTCTCTCAGCTGGGTCTTACCTCAAACCCTTAACGAGATTATTAGCATGCAACAATGACAGTCTGGTCACGATAAGATTGTGTGAGAACAAATCAAATTAACTTTAGTGTCCACCACAGGTTCTAGTTAGAGCACGTCAGATTCTTGTTTGCAAACAAAACAATTTAAGGACCTAGTTTTTTTTGCGGTTCGAAAGCGCAAAGGAATATCAAAATGCAATTATATAAACGTATATATAATTGTTAAACAATTACAAATTGGTAATTTAATTTAATAAATGGTAATTGGTAATTTATAAATTGTTACAACATTATGAACATATATATTATATTAGATTGGTCCGAAAGTTTTGTTCCACCATCTTCAAAAAATCATAACTTTTTCACAACATGATGCTTTTGCATATGTAAAACCTTTTTGGAGAGCAACTTATGCGTTTCTAATGCTGCCTTGGCAGCGATCTAAGAAGCTTTGATCGCAGAGATAAAATTGGGAAAAGGAAATCACTTCAAGTTCGCAATTTTTAAGCAAGCCCGTTAAAAAATCCAAAAAGTGTGCCATAAAATCTCAGCCATTATCCTAGACTTTTTGATTTCCTCTTTATACAGTGCTTGCCATAGCTATAAAGCCACCCTGAAAATCACTGTAATTTGCTCTCTTTTCTTCGAAATTGTCTGAAAAACCACTATTCTGTGTGCAAACTAACGTTGTATCATTGACCAGAACGGCTCCCAATTTCATTGGTTTTGGCCGGAGAAAAGTTGAAAATTTGAAAAAAGGGGTTCCCAAGGCTGGTCACAGCTATAAAGCCACCTCTCATTTCCAATCAGTACTACGTTTTTTGAACCTGAAATTTTTTGTACATATACAACATCAAAGTATTAAACATTTGTCACGCTTGGAAGCAGTCGCCTTTTCAAAAAGGAGATTCATCCTCATTTTTTGCTTCAAAATGTATAAAAATTATAATGCTTGAAAAAACTGCTTTTTACCGAATTTTCAAGCATTTGTTTAACTCGAATGAAGGTCCTAGGCTTCGCCGAGCCTTTGCAATGAGTATGGTGAAAAGTGCTGGACTCAACATTGCGTAATCGCTGATCTTGATGAACGAGCCTCATCTTATCGAGGTGTAAGCACGCTTCTGAGACGCAAAACTTGATTTCTGACGCGCGAAAATTTTCGGTTGAAAGTTGACACCTTGTTCGCATGGTGACGTACTCATGCGGAAGCTGTCAGACTTTTTACAAAGACGTAATTGCAGCATTGAACTTAGAACGCTTTGCCTGCAGTTCGGTAGTACGCAGCGTATTTCACATGACTTCAAATTTTACTGCTTTAAACTCTTCTTCAAGTCAATCTTACAAAACTGTCAGGAATACTAGAATTTTGAAGTTTTGAGCGGTTTTCAGATCGATGGAGAGGTCGGAGTGCGTCATGATCAGGCAGAGTGCACCACTCATTTTTGGAAGAAAAGCGTTCAAGGCGGAACCAAAATCCTGAGAGTTGCGATGATGTTCAAGCTATGCGCACGAGTCTATCGTTGTACAAGCGACGTGCTGAGCACGTGACAGAGCTTTTCGGGCATTAGAACTCAATTTCTGCGGTTTGAAAACTCATCTACCTGAAGGTGGCGTAGAGGCTCATTTATCGGTATCAGCGACTAAGCTATGTTGACTCCTGCGCTTTTCACCATATCCATTGTAAGGGCTCGGCGAAGCCTAAGAGCTTCATTTGCGTCAAACAAATGCTGAGAAATTCGGTAAAAAGGCAGTTTTTCCAAGCATTATAACTTTTTATACATTTTGAAGCAAAAAATGCAGGATGAATCTCCTTTTTGAAAAGGCGACTGCTTCCACGCGTGATAAATGTTTAAAATCTTGATGTTGTATATGTACAAAAAATTTCAGTTTCAAAAAACGTAATACTGATTGGAAATGAGAGGTGGCTTCATAGCTGTGACCAGCCTTGGGAACCCCTTTTTTCAAATTTTCAACTTTTCTCCGGCCAAAACCATTGAAATTGGGAGCCGTTCTGGTCAATGATACAACGTTAGTTTGCACACAGAATAGTGGTTTTTCAGACAATTTCGAAGAAAATAGAGCGAATTACAGTGATTTTCAGGGTGGCTTTATAGCTATGGCCAGTACTGTAGCTGAGGATTTGTGCTGATCGAGTTGTTGTTTTGAAAGTTATGATTTTTTAAAGAAAATGCCAAAAAAATCAATTTTCTAAAGAAACTGATTTTTTGGCATTTTTTCCTGAAAATCATAACTTTTCTAGGAAGAACTCCATCAGCCCGAATTTTGCTTGTATGAAAAGAGGGGATAAGAAAACCTAGGCCATTGGCTTTTTTGTATTCTATGGCACACTTTTGGATTTTTTAACGGGCTTGCTTAAAAATTCCGAACTTGAAGTGATTTCCTTTTCCTAATTTTATCTTTGCACTCAAAGCTTATTAAATAGCAGCTAAGGCAGCATCAAAAAGTGCATGGACTGCTCTTTCCAAAAAGATTTTATATATGCCAAAATATCGTGATGGAAGGAAGTTATGACTTTTTGAAAATATTGGGACAGAACTTTCGGACCAACCTGATATAATTGTTTTTTCTTTATATCAAAATACAATTATATGTTGTCGTAACTTCTGATAAATATACCTCACTTTTTGTCATCCACGGAAATAATATTGGGTTGTTCGTCAATTCCCTTTTAATTTCTAACCGCAGTAATCATATACCTTTTAATTCTAAACAGGCTTCAAAGTATTATTCGATAGAGCAAGGCAAGCTCTATAAGGTGATGTTATTGCTTTCACATCAGTTTAAATCTACCTCAAGTTCAAAGCCAAAAACTAAAAGGTTCAAGTGCCCGAAAAATTGAGAAAATTGTAACTCCGTCCCAAATCCTTCAAAAATCCTAACCTCACGTATACATTTCCATATTAGACATTTACATACAAGGTGTCCTAAAAAAGATGTGCCTGTTTAATTTGTTAATGACTCTTTTGTAATAAAATTTATTGGGAAGAGCTTCAGGTACCGTTCTATAGAGCTGGCTTCAACTTAGGTCTGTGCTATAGAGCAAACCCCAATCGCTTTTTATTAATGTACGATCGATTACGGAAATTTCAAGCATGTGGTGCCACTGTAAAAAAAAGCTGCCATTTCAAAAATTCTCAAGAAATGTGAAAACTTGTGTGATAGGGTTTACATAGACGCTGGGTTCAGTACTCACCTATCAAGATTGCAAAGCTTTAAACGGTTGAACCACACCTTTTAGGAACGTTGAAAAAACGGCCGCTACTGTTTATCTCGCATAACATTTTAATGAAGTGTTATGTAAATTTCAAAATTTATATTCAACATCTGCAAATATAATTACCCCAGAATGAAAGTCTTCGAGTTGTTTCGTTTCCTAATTGAGGCAAATTATGACCTTTCATAACTTAAAAACCTCTTTAAAGATTCCACCGTAATCCCACAGTGATGGAGAGCAGTCGGTAATCCGCCCCATACCGCCCAAATCTAAGCTTAACCCACCTCTACAAAGTGTCGCGTAATGCTTCTCGAAAGACTTTATTTAATGAGAGTTATTAGCAATTAAACAGTATCTTTTGAGGCACCCTCTGTATTGTTGCTGTATTTTTTAGTCGGTTACAAACCAAGAAAACAAAAAATTTTTGCTTTTGCCAAAGTGATGCTGCGCTGTTCCCATATTATCGTGTAGACCGACCTGTAGAAGTTGAAAAGTAATTTTTCTGTTTTATGCAAGCTCTAGTCTTGAGAAAAGTCTTGAGAAATGTAGATCATAGTGTGAGATATCCGAATAAAAGATGCTGTATTCGATATTTCTCGAGACCTAGAACTTATAGAAAGCAGAAAATTCACGTTGTGAAAATTCTCGTTTTTTGCTTTCTGACCGAGTGAAATAGAGCAAAATTATACATAAATGTCTGATGTGAAAATTGTATACGTGAGCAAGTTAGGATTTTTGCAGGACTTTTTTGATTGACTGGCGATTTTTACGATTTTTCGGGCAATTACTCCATAGTTTTGGTTTAAAGCTCGAGATGGATTGAAGATGATGTAAAAACGAGAAGGTCATCTTAGAGAGCTTGATTTGCTCTACCACTCTTTAATGCTAAAAAACCATTTAAATTCAAGGTGTGCATGACTTTTTGCGGTTAGAATCTAAAAGGCATTTATTTCCGGGCAAGCTAATTTTTAAAATGTAAGTCAAAATTAAATTTTCCTCTTCCACTATTTCAAACTGTTTTTCCTTACATTTCAGTGACGGTTGAAAAGCGAAGGCGCATGCAAAGGGGCAAAAAGGCTCTTGAAAGAAATTGATTCTTAGCCAGGGCTCAGCAGCACAGTTGACACAGGCCAAGCCGGTTATCGTTTTGCGGGACCAAAGGAGAATGCTTGAAAAATGCTAGAGAATGCTTGTCAGTGCAATGGCCCCACAACATGTCTTTAGGCGTAACAAATTACACATAATCTACGTGGACACAAGTTTGGGCTGCAAGTTGTTAATGAGGTTGTCCTCGTGCTAAAAGGTACAGCAAGTAGCGTTTCTATTTCCTCCGACTAGTACAAGTTTAACGATTTTGGGGTCCACGTTTAATGGGCTATTTTCTTCTTCAGTGTACGCAACATGTTCACATTTAGGCGATTTGAGGTTTAAACTTCATAAAGGTCGTTAGCTTTCCCAAAAATAGCATTTTCTTTCCGCTGTGTATTTTACTGATAAAGCCTTTCTACTATTCCAAATCCAAGTAACGAAAAGTTATAAGCGGATTAAAGGCAGCGCTCAGACAAAACTTAACCCCTTCAATTAGTAACTATCCCGAATGCCCTAGGAGAGGGCCATTTGCGCTCTGGACCTCCAACGTTGTCTTTGAATGGGGAATGGATAAACTTGAAACAGCGCAAGTGCTTTCAAGCCACGCCCGAATCCTCTCGTGCTCCGCCCACCTAGGAAGAAAAAGCCGCCTGGACTTTTGAGTAGGGCCCAAAAATGGGTATTTTTGAGGATTTCGCACAATTTGAACTTCATCCCCGGTCAGTTATGTTGGGGAGAGCAAAATTTAATGCTTCGTCCATGACACAGCGTGTCAGCTTTCCCCTCAGAAATAACACGTATTCCCCAACTAAGTACCCTTAATCACAATTCTGTGAAGTCTCTTTTACAGCACCTACCCAAAACACGCATGAAACTACATCGACTTTGAACATGCTAAGAACGTTGAGACTTATTTTTATTGCACAATGCGGAAAATGCGGTTCACGTGATTCAACGGGTATTGGCCCTGTGTCACGCGAGAAACAGGATGCCAAATGCAGATAAGATGAGCCTTTAGAGTACGCACCAAGTCCAGGGCTCGGCATGAGGTGGCTTTTTCAATTTCAAAAACGAAGTCTTCGTGGACTTCGCCACTATAATACGATAAATATGACGCGATCATTAATGAATAGAAACGAATAACAGAAATAATGGAAAAAACGTAAAGAAAACATTGAGCAGACGGAAAGAACTGAAAATGTCCGTATTCTCTGAATTGGCGGCATGCTGTGTCCGGCGCGCACCCTTGCGCGCTTGGAGCAGGCTTGCCGCCGCCATACAAAATATCTGTAACTAGGCGAGGAAGAGGGGGGTTCAGGGATATTCAAAAACTCAGTTGTAGAGTTTTTGATGTAGAACAAAGTTATGTGAAACAGTGGAAGAAACTTATGTGAAGAAAGGGAAATCTATGACTTTTTCTTTTTACAGCCACCTCAGGCGGCTGTCCAGATGGCTGGAAAGCCACCTAGCTCCGAAACAATTTGCCACGCCTTCAGTTCACATAACTTTTTCATAATTTTTCGCACATAGTCCTATCCCTATTGCCCATCTACGCACCAATTTTGGTGTCATTTCCTTTCCTCTTCGATGTAAACAAGTCTTTTGTTTTTTTTCGGGCAAGTTTGAAACCGCGCGCTTAAGCGGCGAATCTGTTGAAACAGGAGATTTTCGATTTTCGCAAGAATGGGATCGATAAGGCAGGAATGACAATTCGCGTTTTTTTTTTATAGAAGATGAAAGGTACATAAAGGAAGAAGGCCTTTGTGTGTGTAGAAGGAGGGGGGGGGGGGTTGCGCTTAAACGATATCCCCCTCAACAATTACAGAATGCGTACTTACTTATAGGACCCTTTTTATGTGAGCATTCAATTCCCTTCCCCCCCCCCCCCTTTCCAAATTTTCAATGCGCAGTGGCTCAGCAGATTTTTAAACTCCACAATCTAATTGGCCATTTTGGTGGATGGAAAGAAACGAAATATTATGTTGCGTAACAAATTTTCATAAAGTTTTGTGCCGCCTTCTAAACGTAAGAGGTGCAAAATGTGGCTTAAAAGAGTCCCTTGAAAAATGATTAGCTGGCGATTTTTAATGGGTTAGACTCATCCGAGCTCCGCTTGAATGAGCTTTCATAAGACGATCGCTTGTCAACGAACGTTCAAGGCGAGCTGCCTTGTTGGAGCATATAGAGCTGTTGGAGCTTATACACACAACACAGGCAACCCATCCTCCTTGCCAATTTGTAAGAATTCTGCACATGTTTATGCAACTGGGCTTGTCCTTACTCAGTGGTAGGAATGCATTTTTATGAAATGGCACTCCAAGCATTATTAAGTTAATAATAGTCAAAACGCAGACTAAAAAGTTAACACATAAAGATCTACATAATGCATATCATCTACTTTGCAGAACAGCGGTATACTCCATGTCTGTAGATGGAAAGGGCGAAATTTGACTTTCTAATATGCCTGACATCAAATAGTTCGGTGTTGTGAAAACTTTGATAAAGACAATTACATTGATGTAACCATATTAATCTTTGCTGATATAACTTTATAGGATAAACAATAAGTACAGTATTCGAGCGTGTTTGTCTTCAAGATAGCCCTGGATCGTCAGAAAATTTTGCAGCAAATCGCAATGAGTACGGCAAGCTAGATAACAGTTTACCAGAAGATTTTCTTACGAAACATTCCTCAAACATGCTGCTCACGCAAAAAATGTATGAAGAACCCCTGAAAGTAAGCTGGCTTCTATTATTCTTCTATTTAAACACTCCTTTTTGTAATAAATTGTCTTTGCAGAAACTAGGCTACTTTGATTACAAATTGCAAATAACTGTAGAGGAAAATTTCGCCGATACTCAAGGAATAAAGTTGATTTACAAGGTAACCTGTAACATTTTCTAAAAAACTAGCTGGCATACCCGGTCTTGCCCGGTTTATGAGCCACGGAGCCAGAGGAAGGAGGGGGAGCGCATAAAATATGTGTTCTGCTTCAAAACCTACGCCTTTCCATTTTTCATACTCAGGGCTCGGCACGAGTTGACACCAGGGACAAAACGAAGTCCAGTCCCGTTTGAACTTGAACTCGTACGAAGTCCCCTTTGACCAGACCCTTCAGTAATTTTAAATTACGTAAAAGCACGTAGTAGGCTTTTCATGCATGCTGATTACATGAAACAACTTTTTACAGCTTTTTGAGCTTTTCAAGTGGTTGAATCACATCTCGAGAAGCAAAAAAGCCGACTTTTCTATTTCGGAGCGAACCGAGTACTTTTCAAATGGCTATAAAACAGTGAAAAGATAACATTGTGAAATTGTTTCTTTTCTGTATGTAAACTTTACGGTCTAGATACATTTCATGTAAAAAAGTATGAAACTTATGTAAGCAAAGTGCTCAATCGGTTCACGCGCAGAGTCTATAAAAAACATATGGTCAAGAGTTGCACAAACTTTGAGTTTTATCTATAGATATATAAAACTCAAACACTTACCTTTGTTTGTTAGGATATTTGTGGCTTATAGACTCTTTTGTATATAAACCGAAAAGGCTGAAAATCTTTCCCCTATAAACAAGAAACGGCGCAGAAGATAGGCTACTTTTCTCAACGACTCGCTGGGTCCTTCTATCGATTTATTGATTTGTTTACTTACATCCAAGAAAATGAAAGCTCTTCACTTACCATCAAATCATTTCCCCAAGTGAAGTAGGAGAGAGCGATAGAGACCATTTACATTTTGCGGCAAAGACGATGCGATCTGGTTACGATGAGAGGCGATCAAGAAGGAAGACAACAACTACGGTACCACGAGTGAGGAGAAACAGGGAGGAGGAGGAAAAAGGAGCGAAATAGGAAGAAAGATGGAAAGGGGAACGAGAATTAAAATGAAGAGTGAGGGACGAATTGTGAGCTCGAAGACGTTTTGATCACTACGCCGGGCCAGTTGCCAATGCCCGGACTGGACCGGAAATGTCTGCTAGTATATACATATTTATATTTCAGTGGCGTACCGAGGGGGGGCCGGGGGGGCGCCCCCCCCCCCCCCGAGAACGGGTCGCGAAATTTTTGAAAATTACTTACATGCGTTATAAAAATGTGCAAATGACTTGTTCATTTTTGTAAACAATTAAAATAATTTTTAAAATTTTTTAAAAATTCAAATTAGCCTTATAAAAAAATTTTTCGGGGGCGTGGCGTCAGCCACGCCCCCTTTTTCCAGATTTTATGGGTTTGGGGCCCGCAAAATTGTTGAGAAGCCCCCCCCCCCCCCCAAAATTTTTTCGGAGTGCGTGGCTAACGCCACGCACCTTCATTTGAAAATTTTTTTGCCGCGCCCCCCCCCCCCCGAGCCGAAATCCTGGGTACGCCACTGTTATATTTATATATATATATCAGTGGCGTACCCAGGATTTCGGCTCGGGGGCGGGGGACGCGACAAAGAAATTTTCTAATGAAGGTGCTTGGCGTTAGCCACGCACTTATTTTTGAGGTGTTTCTCAAAATATTAAAAAAAAATATAAAAATATATCTCAATTATATTGTCCCCGACCCCTAAAATCTGGAAACGAAAAAAATTTTTTCCAAGGCTAAAATGAATTTTTAAAAAATTTTAAAAATTATTTTAATTATTTACAAGTACAAACAAGTCATTTGCGCATTTTTATAACTCATGTAAGTAACTTTCAAAAATTTCGCGACCCGTCCTTGGGGGGGGGGCGCGCCCTCCCCCCCGCCCTCCCCCCCCCCTCGGTACGCCACTGATATATATATATATAGATAGATAGATAAATTACAACAACAATAATAGGTTTGAGGTAAGAGGTAGTTCACAAGGGAATTGTCAAAATTCGAAGCAGCCAATCCTAGCAACTATATACCGTCGAACACTGCATGGAGGACTGGGTACATATCCGCCTCATCTGTTTCTCGGCTTCCTACACGAAGTTATGCCCCTCGATTCTGCCATGGGGCCGCCGCGCCTCATAAGTACTGCTGACCCACTAGGTGAGAAAGTGGATTCATAGCGCAGTAGTAAGTGTGCAAACGCTAAGACAAGCTACCTTTTTGTCCGCGAGTTCGATTCCTTTTGCTTGCTACTTTTTTACAACCCATTCCCCATATCTATATTGCTAGCGCGAACATAAGTGGTTAAAAGATAAGTCAACATTCAAAAACTTCGAAATCTATATTTTTTCTGTGATTTGAGAGTGCGAGCCAATTCGGATAAAAAAGCGTACTCAAGCCTTTTGACCGAAAAATTCTATCGCGTCCTGCCAAAAATTAGGTTTCTGTTTATCAGAAGCTGCTTTTGCCATGATCATCCTCAGTTCTCAAGGGAGTTTGTACGATAAAAAATGAAGTTCCCGAAATTTTTAGATGTTGCATCATCTTTTTAAACGCGTAAGGGACTCCGCGTCAGCAATATAGATATTGGGAATGGGCTGCAAAAGAGTATCAAGCAAAGGAATCGAACTTGTAAACAAAAAATAGCTCGTCTTATAAGTCTGCACAGTTACCAAAGCGCTATATGTCCACCTTGATTTCTAGGCGAGCGAGCTGTACTTATGATGAGCGTCAGACCACGGCGGAATTGAAGGTCATAACTTCTTGTAGGGGACCGAGAAGCAGATAACGAAGGCGGTAGTATGTATTCAGCCCTCCATGGAGTATTTAACGATATACGGCTTGCTGTGATGCCACTTCGAATTTTGACCATTTCCTTGTCAGCAGAATATTGTCTCGAACAAAGATCACACACGGTGGTAGTGGACCTTAACAGGCATTGTGATAGTAATAGTAATGTGATAGTAATCATAGCAATTGCACAGTTCTTTTGAAATTTACGAAAACGTTTCGTTTTGACAAATGTAGGCAGCTGCTAATCAATATCACTAACCTATACATTTTTCCTTGCTCAAGCATAGCTTTTTTAACTTTCTTCACTCGGCTCAGTTTCCTTAACTTTCAGTAGTACGACCGCTTCCAGTCGTGTGGGAGGCAAAGCCTTTTTTGATTATTATCAATATTTTCTGATAGTAATAAAAAACTGTTACGTAACAGGACCTTCTTCTATTAGAAAGTGCAGAAAACTCAATTGGTAAAAAAGTGGTGACTTTTCGTGCAAGATTTCATTTGATAATATTGCTGACAACTAAGTTTTGCAACTGCTTTTTTGACTCAGTCTTTTTGGATATGACGCACTCAAACTTTGGCAGTATATAGAGCGCAAATTTACTAAATTTTAAGAATATTTGGAGTTATAAGCCAAAATAAACAGCAGACTAAACCATGAGAAATAATCCGGAATCGTGTACGAATTTTTGCTAGAGGTTGACTCAATTGGGTCACCAAGAAAGAAATAGAATTTAGGGGCTCATGATTTGGCGCCCTCACAAATTCGAACGAATAACCATTAATGGCTGAGGAGTCAGAACTACAAAAATCCTCGAGCCTTTTCATATTGAGGTTATTTGACCTGCTAAACACAAATATCTTATTCATTTGTTGCATCAACGCCTCTTTCCTTGGTTGGAGTGAGACCCTATATTGTACGATTACAGTAATCTTAGGCCCCGGACAGACTTCACACGATTTGATCGTCGCGACTGAATAGCGACGGGACAACTGTTACAACATCATTCCATGCCGATCAACTTGCATTTCGGTTGTTATACTTTTCCAGCCCGAAATTTTTGAATGTGAAATGAAAATGAATGTAAAAGTCGGCGATTGAGTCGCGACGATCAAATCGCGTGAAGTCTGTCCGGGGCTTTACAGGAAAGCCCTTATCACGCAACTTCAGTATAGTTTTCGTGATCAGCATGTCGGAAAACCCCCTATGCCAATTTTCAGCCAAACCTGTCAAATTTTATAATCTTTCTCTTTATACCATATGCTTATGGTAACCCTCACTGCAGCATCAGAATTTGATAGAGCAGCAGCTGTGTTCGTAGCTTACGTCATATCCAACACAATGGCAAGATTGGAATGGGCCATTTTGAGTGGGAGGGAATTTATTGAATGCGTTGCAAAACTTGGTCTCCTTAGAGATTAAGTTTTGCAACGCATTATTAGAACGCATTACATTTATTAGATTAGATTAACGCATTAAAATGTACTTAACTACTCATTTTTATCAATACTTAGGTCATCAGTAAGGCCCCCGCCAGAGTGCCGAAGCCACGCCAGTGCTAGGCCGGCGCCGAGCCCGCTTTTGATCGAACGTGTATTTCGTTGGGGCGGGACCCTGGCTGAGAACTAGGCCAGCTAGCCCCGCCCCAACGAAATACACGTGTATCGATCGAAGCGCTGACTCGGCGCCGGCGTAGCGCTGGCGTGGCTTCGGCACTCTGGCGGGGGCCTAAGAGCTTACAAAAAGAAGAACGGTCTATAATAAAACAAGACACTTTGTAGGCAGCATGCTCTGAAGATCTTACCACTCCTGTAAGCTCTGTGTTTCCTGCCATTCCAATCAGAGGTGCGATAGTGGGAGCCGACTCTCCCCCTACCATCACTTTTGAGCTGGTACAGAGTGACCACCTTAACTTTTGAAACAAAAATGTTTTTCGCTGGACGGTAAAGAAGAAAAATAAGCCAAACAAACGCAAAAAAGATTATTGAAAGCATATTTTTATGTATATGGCGGCATAATCAATCATAACTTATAATAACGGGCTAAGGGTTGTTTACGTTTGTGTGTGTGTGTGTGTGTGTGTGTGTGTGTGTGTGTGTGTGTGTGTGTGTGTGTGTGTGTGTGTGTGTGTGTGTGTGTGTGTGTGTGTGTGTGTGTGTGTGTGTGTGTGTGTGTGTGTGTGTGTGTGTGTGTGTGTGTGTGTGTGTGTGTGTGTGTGTGTGTGTGTGTGTGTGTGTGTGTGTGTGTGTGTG